TTGTCACGCATTGTTTGCAAAGCTTGGACAATTTGCATTAGTGCTCCCCAACGAAACCTACCTCTTTCTCAGCCCCCAGACTGACATGTGGCAATGAGATTTACCCTCCTGACTATGGGCTCAGCTGCTCATTTGATGCATATACACCATCTATTGCATTATATAGCACGTGTCAGATACTGGCTCAATTAAAAACTGTTCACCTTAAGCAGAAATACATTTTTCATGTAGACATTCATCTAAACTAACATCCACTTACAAAACAGTCAAACAGACAATGCCAACTGCAGTATCACACACTTGCCTTGTCTTCAGTTTACTCCTGGAAGGTTCTACGCTGTGTTGCTTTACCCGGAGGAAATCAGACAGATGAACTTTAAACTCAGGAAGTTTTTTAGCTACTGAGCCCAAAGAGCTAAGTTCTCCAAGAGAACTGACAAGCTACAGAGCTCAGAACCTCAGCTAATGAAGTGCAGGTGGCACAGCCCACATCATCTCATCAGCCATCACCTGCCATGGGGTTTGGATGAGGACAGTAGCCCCACCTGGCAGCAGAGACAATCCAACTACATCAGGCAGAGAGGCAGACCAAAATCCCCAGCTACATTTGCTACTTGATTTCAGATTTAAGCCATACAATAAAAAGGGTGTTTTGTGGACAACAGTTTAAGTAGAAACTCAGGAGCACAGCCCCTCCTATGCACTATAAATGGTAATATTATACCATGCAGCAAGTGACCGTGTTAGAACATGGCCAAACAAACAGGCAGAACAAATGTGGGCAGGCCCTAAGTGTGAGGTCCTCCGCTTTGCAAAATTATTTTCTTCTAAAAGCTTTTGAAGACCATAATTAGCAGGACTGGGGATGCTAACTGTGCATAGTACTGGAGACATGAACAGATCATAGAAGTTCATGAACACTGCTGAAAAGAGTAGAGAAAGCAAAACAGAAAAAGAAGCAGCATACATCTGCTGCCACAGTGCAGTTAAATCCCATTTCCCCTTACACTGCAGCCCAGCACATCCCTTCACTTACAGAGATGCAAATGATGTACAGCTACTTCCCAATTCTGGGTTTCCAGTGCTACAGAGACTAAATCCTGCAGCACTTGTGATTCTCCTCATCTTTTCATCTTCGTCACCTTCTCTCCTCCAGTTTTATCAGACTAGTGAATCCCCCAAAGACCCTATAAACACTCTGGCTTTTTCCTAGATGAGACTGTATTTTGTATGGCTGCTGCTTGGGTGCTGCCTGGCAGGACAGAGGCTCCCCAGCCCTGTGGGAAGCACTTGCTTTTCCTGGGGATGCGCCAGCCAGGGCAGAGCCCAGGAGGGAACTGCTGTGTCCAGCGACAAACCCAGAGAAAAGGCACGGAGAGCGAGGTGTGACAAGCCAGCAGCCACACGGGCTGTCCAACCAACCAGCACCAAACCCCAGATCCACACGTGCCTGGGACGTACCTGAGCAGATTTTTCAAATGTGTGTGACTGAGTGTTTCAGGCAGGGAGGTGAAGAAATCCTTCCTACGGCTAAATCCGGAAGCAATGCGAGAAGCTCAGGTTATTAGAGAGAACAATCACAAGCAGCCACAGTTTTTGGTACAGTGGTTTCCATCCAGACCAGACCTTGCTCTGAAATTTGGATGAAGCTTTTGGAACACGCTAGAGCAGAAAGCCAGGCCCACAGGGTTGAGCTGTCCTTGCTCCTCAAGCCCTGGCTTTAGTTCCACGGCCAGGAGGACACTGCCTTCCTCCAGCTGCCATCTTCAGCTCCTGCAGCGCAGGAGGCCACACCACGGAACTCAGCGGCACCGGCCAGGAGTTTGTTTTCAAAGACATAAACAGGACACTCAACAGCTGGTATCTTTACTGAATGAATTTATTGGTTTTTGAACTAAAGTTGCTCACAGTTATTTAACAAGGGATACATCAGATTTTTTTGTCCATTTCAAACCATTAAATAATGTCAGTTTGTGTCTGTATATGTGTGTGTGCGCGAGTGTGTGTCTTCGAAGTACAAAATAGGAAGGATAACAAGAGGTATTGCTTTCATTTATTCTTATATCTTGTGTAAGTAATCCCCTTCCTGCTTGTACCACATGGGTTTTGCTGATATAGGTATTTTTAAATTATTATTATTATCTTGTATTGAAATCCCAGCCTTTTGTAGAGGTACAATGTAACAGAAGCATCAAAATCTATACACAAGGGAAGAGAAAAGAGGGAAAAGAAGGACGGGGGTGATGGGAGGGGAGCTCGGAGGAGAAGTAGAGAGAGGGCAGAGGCAGGAAAGACAACGAAAGCAAAAGAGACTAATTTACAGCAATGTCATGCAATTAAAACTGCCCCCCTCTCCTGCACCCTTGCCTCCCCCCCTCCCCAGCCATCACCCCCTGGTGTCTGACATGCACACAGCAATACGAGAGAGAAAAGTTTAAGAATAGGGAAAATAAATAAATAAATAAATAAAGCAAAAAAAAAAATTTAAAATAAATCCCTCCCATTTGGGGGAATGGGGAAACAGGGCAGAAGTCAAAGGTCTTTGCCCCAGTTGTGTCTTTAAAAATTCTTTTTAATCTTCAAACCTATGTACAAGTAAAACTGGTCCAAGAAGGGGAAAAATGATTAAAAAAAACAACAACGACAACAACAACAAAAAAGAACTCATCCAACATTATCATTAAAAAAAAAATCTTGCGATACAACATACACCCATAGGAACCCAACGAGCAGCAATCGAAGGTCATAAAAGAGCTGAACACTAATGCTAAGCCTACATTCTTAAAATCTCAGTCAAGGAATACTTCTCACTGTGTTTTGTCTTCCACATGTAAAACCACATTTTTTTGTTTGTTTAACCTTTGAGCTTGGGCCAGAATAAGTTACACTTGGTCACATAACTCTTGAGGAGGAAGAAAAAAGGTGGCAATTCTTCTTTCTCAAAGTCACAAAATGAACACTTACAAGGTTTCTGTGTCTTTTTTCCCCCTCCTCCACAAAATAAATAAGAATCAATGTTGCCTCTACACAGTTATTAAACAGAAGATATATCTAACAGCTTATTTATTTAAATATATATATATGTATATATAAATAACCAAGACCTAATAACTGAAACACAAAAAAAAAGGTCCCCATCCACCCAATCCCACCCTCCTCCCATTCAAAAAAAAAACAAACAAAAAAAAAACCCCAAACTAAAACCAAAACAAAAACTTTATAAAAATATCTTGCAATACATTTTAAAGTTTACAGTAGCTTTGTGATTAAGTCTCCCATTGCCCTGACTCCACCTTGTCTTGCTCTGATGAACCAAGTGCCAGTGATTTTGCACACACACACACATACACACAGAGGAAATAAAACCCAATATAAGTCTCTTTTCTTCCTCCTCTTCATCTTCTTTTTTTTTCCTTTTTTTTTTCTTTTTTCTTTTTTTTTTTTAAGAAAAAAACCACCCAAGCCAACAAATGAGACTGGTAACTTAAAGAAATAATAATACTGATATCAATGCAGCACTAGCAACACAACAATTGCCTCTAAATGCAGGGTGTGGTGGAGGATCCAGCTGGTTGAAGAAGGTCCCAGCGCGGTGGCACAGTGGCAGGGAGTTGACAGGTGGGGAGGAAGGTGTCGAAGGAGGAGCAGCAGTAGCAGCAGTGGCAACTGTGCCTGGTGATGGGAGAGACAGTCCTTGGCAGAGTCTTGTCCCTCTTCTTTGCTACCAGAAGTTGCCTTTTCCCTAAGTTTTAATGTTTTGTTTGTATGTGTTTATTCATTGAACCCCCTCTCCCTCCTATGTTTACTCCTTTCCCCTTCCAGCAGGTTAAAAAGCAAAATGATACAGTATAAAAAAAACAATTAGTTTGTGTGTGTGTATATATATATGTATGTATGTATATTTATACATAAATATACACACATATATACATGTATATATAAAAAAAGGGGGCAAAAGAAAAGGAAAAAGTGGTGGGGAGAAAAAAAAAAAAAAAAGAGAAGAAAATCCCGTGATGAAGCTCCCCAATATTTGTCTTGGTTCAACGCTTAGTTTTGAGTTGCTCCTGGCTGGTTTCTGATGAGAACGCGCTCTGGATTCATGGAACACTGCGCTCCCGCTACACCCGAATCCTTCCCCACACCCTCCCTCTCCGGGCTGCGTTCACCTGCGCGGACAGAAGTTGCCAAGGGTAAATAATTCACTCCAACAATTTGCAACCTCCTTTGAGCCCAGACTCTGCAATCCCATAACTGAGCAGATCTCTCTTGTGGAGCACCAAAAAAGAAAAAGAGAAGGGAGGAAAAAAAAAACCAGGTGTGCACTGGGGAGGTGACTGGGGAGAAGTGGGGGAGAAGCCCACTTCCTGAAGGGAGAGGGGAGGCTGGGAACCTCAAACAGGACTGGTCCTTGGACAGTCTACATCGGTTGCCTTCCGTCAACAAGTGTCCGCAGAGCACAGAAGGTGAAGCCGTGGCTGACATGTTAACTTTTCGGGATAATTCCTGGTAGCAGAGCGGAAACAAGTGGTGTCGTCAGAAACACAGAGAGAGCATGAACAGAACAAGAAACAAAACAAAAGAAAACAAAACAAACAAACAAAAAAAAAAAAAAAGAAGAAAAAAACAAAAAAAAAATCAGGAAGGAGAAAAAAAGCAAAATATCCAAAAAAAGGGAGGAAAAAAAAAACCAATCGAAAAAAACCACAACCCAAGATCTGGTGAACTGGGTTTGTCATCTGTGCTACCTTTTCTTTTCTTTCTTTTCTTTTCATTCTTTCATTCGTTTGTTTTTGTGTTTGTTTCTGAGATATATATTATATATCATATATAAATATATATATGTATATATATACAGTCATTCCTTCATACAAAATTTGTCTATAGACAGTTTTGTACTGTTGTGGCAAGGTATATACATCCTTCTAGTTTAGAGGCTAGCTTGCTAAGGAATATTCTTTCATTCTTTCTTGCTTTTTTTCTTTTTGTTTTGTTCTGTTTTCTTTTTTTTTTTTTCTCTAAGTTATTTAATTTTTTATGTGTTTATTTAAGGTTGGTCTTGTAGGCCGACTGATGAGACCATCTTTGCCTTGTCTTTGCCAGCAGGGTACTTATTGTCTCCTCTAGACCCATAGTCATTAGAACCGGAATCGCTCCGCTTGCTGTTTGCGCTATGCTTGGTTGGCGTGCCGGGGGGATGGCTCACCTGCCCGTTCTTCTCGTCTGAAAAAAGTTGTTTAATTACGTCAAAGAAGTTACTCAATGGGCTGCCTGGGTACACAAAACAGAGGAGACAAAAAAAGAAAGAAAGAAAGAAGGAAAAAAAAAAAAAAAACGAAGGGGGAAGAGAGAGAAAAAGAGAAGAGAAAGAGAGAGAACAAACAAACAAATGAACAATGGGGTTTTTAACGAGAAGAACATGATGAGGAGATCCAGAGCCACGTGCGTGGGGGTGTGTGGGGGATGAAGACAATGAGCAGGAAGAGGAAGAGTGTTTAGGATGGGACACCTACAGAAATAAAAAACCTGGGAGCATAAAGCACCTAGGGGGAAGCTCCTAGTTTTTTTTCCTGAGTGAGGAAGCATTGCTGTCTCACCTGGCAGGAGGACACAGTACCATGTGATTGAAATAGGTCAGTCCATTACTAGGATTAACTTGGCCACTCCACATGGAAATGCCAGTGACTGTAATGCTGGACACAGGCAAATCCCATCCTGCTCCTGCTGTTACAAACACATGGTATTTCCATGTGGCTGCCCACTGACCCTTTACTTTGCAGCCTTGCTAAGCTCTCTGTCTACACCAGGCATCAGGCTTTCCTTGCTTGCATTTTATTTTGTTCTGAGTTTCTTCTTGCCACCCTGTCATGACTAAGCCTGAAGTACCTGAGAGGTCCAAGGGAAGCATCATTTGGAAAATGAGCTAGGACAGAGATGAGTGTTGCCATCTGCATGCGTGGTCTGTGGTTTGCACTTGCAGGCTTCTAAGCACCTTCAGATCCTCCCTAAACAGGTACCTGGAAATGAAGATGCTGAATGTGGATGCAGGCTGTTATACACCTCCTGTTTCTGGCAGGGTCAAGACCTTCTACCTCATTGTCCTGAATTTATGCTCTCTCCACAACACAGCCCCCATGGCACTGGCATGCATCCCAGTGCAGTTAGGAGCCAGAGGGAGGTAGAGATGTGTGCTACTGGAACGGGCATCTCCTTCAGCCAGCCACTACATCAGACTGCAGTGTTAAAAAGGACTGGGCACTGGACACTGAATACAGCCTTTAGTGCCACATGGACCTCCAGGAAGCACAGTTATAAGCTCTCAGTCTACCTCTGTGTTAGAAGGTGTGCAGAAGGTCATACTTGAGGAAAGGCTCTGTGGTGCTACTAAGGGAAAGGGACCAGCTACTTCTGGAAAGGTAGCCTTTGTTTGGGAATTTCTAGTTTCCTTTTATTTTCTTGGATTGAGGCATTAATCTTTATCAAACACAGGAGGGGTCACACTAAATTTCTTGAACATGGATATTGAAAGTGTTTCTTATCTGATGTACACCCTGGAGGTGATGCCTGTTCATGATCATTAAAATCCCATGATGGTTTTCTCAATACTGGGACTGTTGGCTCTACCATCCTATAAAATTCAAATAACTTCTATCTCCAGCTCCTGGAAGGAAATGGGCCCCTTGTATCTACCTTCCAGTGTGGTAGAATGCTGTGAAGAGTGGAACCTTTCATCCCCAAGATGGGAACATTCTGCCAGGAGCAAAGGGCTTCCTCATAGCAGAGACTGGTGGACACTGGTGGCTTGGTCATTATGCACTTTACTTTGATTCCAAACATCAGCAACCCAGTAACTACAGCAGGCAAGTACCTTCTGTGCACAGCAATTCAACTGAAGAGCTTGTTGAGTACTTTCTTGCTCTCTAATGGAAAATGTGAGACACATATCATCGTCTTACACAGAGAAAGAGGAAATACACAGTATTTGTGCTTTGCAAACTGAATGTGTTACTGCTTTTTGCCTGCCCTATACTAACCAGGTAGTGGATGCTTTCGCCTGCCTGTTAACGGGCATTGAGAAAAATCAAATGGCTGGTAAATACAGTGAAGAATCCTATTAATCTAATTCATTCCTTGACCTCCTGTGCCTGCTATTTTGTGGTTAATGTTCTGTTTGCCCTGCTTCTGTCACTAAGTTACACTAAAGCTAAAAGCAACAGGCTGTGAGTTTCTGGAAGGGCATCATTCACCCAACTGACTGAAGCCTTAGTGATGGGCACAAACACCCAACCAAACAAAGCACACATCTCAATTTCCAACTAAGAAGAGAAAGGCTTTCACTAAACTCAGTCACTTGGGGCTCAGGCCTCCCTGAGCTCCACCTGCTCCCTTCCACATGCATGCAAATGCTTGGGAAAGGAGATATCTGTTCCACATCTATGACTTCTACATCAAAGATTTCCCTAAACCTCCCTAAAACTGTCTTAGGTTTGTGGGCACACACATTGCGCAGACTGAATTTTATCTACTCAGACTGACTTCTACTTCTTTTAGGTGGATACCATTTTTTAATTAAAAGAGAAAAAAGAAAGCAAACACTCAGCCTTGAATGCAGGAATGTGGGCAGATCTGGTTCTCAGGTGGCTTTGGACCCCTCATCTTCATAAGCAAATGGAGTCAGCAGAGAGAATGAAAGAGAGCACTGAAAAAAATGCTGGAGAGGAAAAGACTGCTGGGTTGGGAGAAAAGAGTAGGGGGATATCTCTGGTTATTCAGCTGAGCAGTTTATTTAACAAGCTTAGAGGGAAAGATGAGGGCAGAGTAAGCAGGGCTCTGCAGGAATTGGGAAAGTTTTTTGTTTTCATATAGACAGGAACAGTGACAAAAGTACAACTTGCAAGAATGGAGCAATAAAACACTTTAGAAATTATACATCTTGTATTTTCTGAGTCCTGATACAGGAATTTTAGTCATCCTACTAAAATAAGCAGCCCATGTTTCATCCACCCTTTCTCCTCCCCATGCCCTATGGGCTTTTGAGTGCCTGGAGATTTATTGCAGCAGAAGTATTTAACAGTCTACTTTTCTTTGCCGGTATCACTACTAGATTCCTTACAATCACCATCATTTTTTAGTTAAAATTTTAATGGGAGGCAAGAAAATCCTTAGGGATGTTTAGAGAGCTACTGAAAACTAAAATAGGCCATTTCACTAACACCTTCCTTCCTTTGCCTTTTGTACTTGTAATTAAATAGTAGGTAATAATGCCCTCCTGTCCTGGCAGTCAAGGAGAATCTGATGCTGGGCTGGTGTTCACACTGCTCTTTGAATAGACAAAGAGTCCTCACACTTTTACTCTGCAGATACCCAAGAATGGGTCAGCTATGCTGGAAGCATAAAAATGGTGCAGGGTGTTGTTCCTGTTAGTTCTCAGTTCCCTTTGAGGTTATAAATCCAGTAAAACAAGACTTGAAAATGCAGGCGATGATGGATTAGAATAGGTTTTTCAGCAATCTTCCATGCCTAATGTTCAGTGCAAGATGTGTCATAGGCTCTTACACCTGTAAGTCCATCGGGGGCCTCAAAAAGGCTGCCTTTCTTATTTCAGAAAGTGAGATGACATCCCATTTCCTCTGGACAGGGATGAAGGTTTGGCTCAGTGATTCTTCAGAACATCCCTGGTGTTTCATGCACAGACTAAGGTCTTCTTTCCCCTTGACAGCAAATGTTCATCGGCATAGAGCAAAGAAAGTGTAAAGGGTAGAAAGGGTGAGAAACCGAGAGGAGTATCCAGGGCAGGAGGGGAGGCTCAGAGCATTAGGTTTATGTCTGTTAGGAGGAGATGGATATGTGCAGTTTTGAGTTAGACCAAGGAGCTGTTTGCTGCAAGACAGGAAAGGGAATGGGTTTGAAAACAAGCACTGAAGCTTATGAAAGGGTCATGTACTGAAGGGGTGCTGAGAGAAATACATTTATGGAGAAGGAACTGGTTTGGGGCACCTGTGTGCAGCACTGTCACAGCCAAATATGAAAGAAGTCAAAACTGTGAATGGACTTGAATACAAGCATTAAAAGGAAGAAACGGGGCTAGAGATAGACACAAAAACATAAAAGGAAGCTGGGCAGGCAGTTTGCACCAGCCCTCACAGCCCTCAGTATATCATTTGCTGTTCTTAGGAGCCTGTCTGACACTGACCTAACCCCAGTGGTGTCACCACTTTGAGAAGCCAAGTGAAAATGGAGCACCCAGGTAAGAGAGGAAGGAGAAAATAAGGGGAATCACTCCAGGCACCGCAAGTGACACCAGGAAAGGATGCACCATGCAAAGACGCTGCTCTGACCTTGCAAAGACTCTCACAGCCCTCCATAGTACATAACAGGAGGTGGTGAACAAGCAGCTTCAAGATAAGCCTGGAGGCTTCAGTTACTGATTAAAGTCTGCTGTTTGTAATATTTTTAAGACAGTCAGATAAGGACTTGGCCCTATTTTCACTGCAGCAAATAGCAACATTCCCATTGACTTCACAGAAGCCAAGCCTGAGGCACTTCCTTCTCCTGAGAAACCATCTCTCTGAAGTCCATGTACTGTTAATGCACTAATCCTTGTGGTGCTGAACACAAAAGTTGCGCAAAACAAATATGCCATCTGTGGGATTATCCTCTATCTTTTCTTTCTGTATAGCCTGAGATATTTTGGGTTTCTGCATGTATATCCTGGGCTTTGGGAGAAAATGAATGGGAAATCATAGGTCTCCAGTGGGAAGAGACACATTTTCTCAATCTGACTTCTCTTACTTCTTTCCCTGTTGCTTTCACACCCTTCCTGATTGTCTTTTGCCTGCCTCTGCTACTGAAGTTTTCCCCCTATACTAATTCCTTACTCTTTAGCCCTTGTCTTTTTCATCCCTGGGTTGCTCTGTTTTGATAGCAGCTGTGGTTTCTGAGAACCATGTAACGAAAATCCAACTTCTTTCACATGAAGCACTGGAACACTCCTTAAAGGGTGACAATCCATTTCCTTTCAAACCCATTTTGCTACTTTTATAAAGTTCTAGCCCTCTTTGTTAAGACAAGGCACTTTTTAGTCTGCTTGCTTGGTTTCTGCTGGCAGAGAACCTTCTGCCTTCAGAAACAAATGACTTAAAATATAGCACTCACTCCAAGAGTATATGCAGTGAAAGGGATGATGGAATAATAAAATGGCCCATTCCTCTTTGTTTAGTTGTAGACCATGTAGGAGTCTCCCTCCAGACTGACAAGGCCCTAGCCTGTACAAATCCAAATCAGGCAGATACCTCACTCAGCTCACTAACTCCTGATGGAAAGTCCAGGGAACAACTCCAGTTTCTTGGCAGGAAACCTGAACTGCAGCTGGAAGGTGATTTACTTTCCAGAGTCCTTAGACTCTGCCAATAAAAATGCCAACTGAAAATGGTGTCTGCAGGAACAAACTGCAGAACTACTGCAGAACTGAGGAACTACTCAAGTTATCACACAGCACTGGCACAGGTATCCATGCCACCAGCAGGTGGAAACTTCCAATTGCTACTCTTCTGGGCAGACCTGAACAACCAATCTGACATTTAAATGCTCTGTAACCCATTCTTGTTCTTACTCCCCTAAAACATCCCATTCTCCACTGCAGGAGGGTGGTCCAATATTTGTGTCTAGCATCCAGATGGTCATTCTCCGTCTTGCACATTTTTTCTCTCACTCTCATAAACATACAGAGAAGCTGAGATCCAGTTCAGCCTCTCCTCACAGTATTACTGAGACAGGTAGCTCTGGAATAATGAATTAGGGAATGGTGAACACAGGCAGCAAAGTCCCAAAGGGATGAGGCCCATTTCCTTGCTGCTGCCTCCTGCAGAGCTAAGGCATGAGTAAGGAATCAGAAACCACACGTGTCTGTTGCTGATGAAAAGCTCTGGCCAATCCAGCACCACCACGTAACATTCAAAAAAGGAAACATGATGATGGAGAGGAGGGAATCATACATTCATTTGGACAGCTGGTGGCACTGAAAGAGCAGGCAAGGATTGTGGTGGGATGAAGAGATGCCAGATTATGTTATGGAGCCCTGCTCTTCTGGCAAATTGGCTGGTAAAGGTCTAAGCCCATGAATTTTTTGTATCTGCTCATCCTTTTACACAGATCTGCTTGCACAAGTGTGTGCTGAGAGAGGAAACTGATGACCCACACCCATAAAGCCCCAGTAAAAGACAGTATTGTTGCTACCCATTCTCTTAGAGATTTCTGCAGCTTTATTCCTATCTTTTCTGCCTATTAAAATGTCAGAAATGTATTGGCACTTAATAATACAATTTTGATCTTTCCTGCCAGATGGATGCTCACATATTATGTTATGGGTTTCAAATCCTTTAGCCTGTTCCTAAGGAGATAGATGACCTATGCATGCTGGTGAAATGTTGCTTCTTCCTTTCCACTGAATAAATCACTTCAAAAGATTATTTAATCTTCTGGGAAGGCCATCTCAAACTTAGCTTAGTACAGCAAGTATTTCCATGGAGCTTCCTGGAACCCTGGCTATCATAAATATCATATCACTGTGATCTCAGTTAAGAGTGAGATATCTGTGTTTTCTGCATTAGATATTATTACAGAGAAAGAGATCTTGTACTGCATAGTAAAAAACTAACCATAGGTGTCAAGATAGGATCTCACATGAATCAAATAGTTCAATACATCTGGATAAACTTTTAGTGCTAAGTTGCTTTTTTTGTGGCTACCTTCTTCTACAGTGCAAAAAATGAGGCATAAATTGGAACATAAATGTCTCCCCAACACAACTACAGTATGTAGGGAGTCAGCCATTCCTTTGGACAGCAAAGGATACTGGCAGAATGGGCAGGGATAACTGGTAAACCTGGCTTGAACTCTTTAGAACCATTTGACTTATCTTGTTGTGATCCACCCATTTTGAATGAATATGTGATCTCTCAGGCGGGTCTTCTTCCTTTTGTCTCTCAGCTGGGTCACAATTTGAACTGGAGAGTCAGCCATGCTCAGAAAATCCAGGAGCCAGCAGATTTTTCAGGAATGTTAATAAGACCCCCTTGTTCTGACCACCAAGGTGGTCTTGTTCTGACCACCTCAGGGTGTGGCAGTGCCAACAAGAACCTTTCAGCTGGGAGGGCAGCGTGTGCTTTTTTTCTGCATGTTTTGACACCAATATTTCTGCCAACAGTTGCAACTTTTTGGCTGCAAATCACCAACTTCCTCTTCCATCAAACAGCTACTTTCAGAAGTGAGATTACTCTAATTAATGCCAATATGGGTCAGGATCACTTCCAGGAACACCAAGTCCAGGTATTTGCTGCTGTTACTAAACACAAAAACAGACTCTAAATGAGCACTCATGAAGCTACAGGCTGCAATAGCAACTCAAATGTGATGTAACCAGTTTGAAACTACAAAATGTTTCCTAATTTCTCAAGAAGATTAGAATGCTACTGGCATGGATTTGTGTCTGGGATTGTCAAACTGTGATTGCTGGGAGCTACAAAGAGAAGCCTTTACTGCAGTGTGGCTCTCTGTGTGCAGAGGATACCGAGCCATGGCCAGCACAATCAGACAGCTCTGAATAGGAAAAATGTCCTAAAGACTGGAAGCAAAAGATCTGAGAGAGATGCATTGGTGAGATATAAAAGGCAAGTGGATTTGTTGTGCTTTTGTGATCTTTGTGCTTTTTGGTCAGATCATTTTGGTGATAGCCACTGGTACCCACAAGGAACCAAAAAGCTTCTTGTTTAACTCTGGTGTTTGGAATCCAGGTTTCCCCTTGTATGCAGCAATACAAGATACCTGTTTAAAAGTAAGCACAAGGTCTTCTTTCCAGCCTGCACAGGGTTATGGTCCAAGATTTTGCAGGAATGTATGGTTGTGCAGTGCTTAACATGACAGCATGATTTGACTGGAGCTGCACTAGTTATCCATACTAACCTTCTCCTCCTATCACCACCCTCTTTCCATGGAAGTGCCACTGATGTGATCTAAGACTTTACTGAGAATCATCAGAGAGGGAGAATAACAAGCAAAGATTGCCTTATTTAGAAGTAAAATTCATCCTCAGGTAGTGGCAGTGTGAGGACTGGGAAGTTTACAGTCTTCCTGGGTTAATCTCAGAAGGAAAAGTGGAGGATAAGGAAGGCTTTTCAGAGCTTCCTGCCAGCAGCCAGCACCTTGGCAAAACATACTTACCAAGGACTCCAAAAAACTGGGAATGGTTGGGAAGGGGAGCTAACAAAGGCTATATACGAGCTCTACCATGAAACTAATCATCCAAAGAAATTCTGAAACATGAAAGACTTGAAGTCACTAAAGTTTGTAAAGAGACTCTTTCCTGACCGAGGACTATTGAAATGGCATTATGGGCTTCTGTGTGGTGTGAATGGCTCCAGATCCAATGTATTCAGTACAAAATGAATGATACTTGCTTTCTAATTCCCAGCTGTGTGGTTGAAGCTGGAGGGCTTTTCAGTTTATGTATTATCTTGATTTTTATTTTTAATGTAAAGGGTCTGCAGAACCTATTAGAACCTTAATTATACAACCTATTCTTCAGTGAGAAGACATAAATACCAGATTAGATGGTAATAAACAGTTCTCTCAATTCTGCTTCAAAAGAAACAGAATCCAGCTTGTCCTTTTACAGCTGTGCTGATTTTATAAGGCTTAACGACAGCACATAAAGTGGTAAAGCTTATTTGTCACTAAACTGATTTGGCTGAGAATACACACAGGAATAGATCAGCTAAAGTATCTCTCCTGTAGATGTTTTTCAGGTTACAGCTGCATTTTATATGTAAATATTTTAATTTTTACAAGCTAAATTTAATCTTATGAACACGCTTCAAGGAAACCAATTTAGTCTTTCTGACAACAGCAATGCCCATTCTGCTGCTGAGATGGGTGGAAACTCAAAATAAAATATTTCACCCCAGCATGCATTTCAATTTATTATGAGCCATGTTCTTTTCTTCTATTGTGAAATACTACAGGTTGGCAGCAGTTTTCTAGTTTGCACAGGTAAGGTTGATACAGCAGCCGTTGTATAATTTGGAGATTGGCAACTCCTATGACAAACCTCAGCTGTTCAACATTAACTTCTCAGTGCCAGTGACTATGCAAAATCATTTCTCAGACTGATGACCACTGCTAGCAGAAGATGACATAACATTTAAAGGACCAAAAAAATTTGCTTTGCTGTTAATTACAGCATTCATTGGTTTACAGTGGGTGAAAACATGTTCTTCATTCCCACCAGAGCTTACCCATTGCTGAGCTAGGCATAAAGAACCTGATTAGCTTTTCCTGATACAGTGTTAACTCTTTTTGCAAGAATGACAAAACCAGCTCCTCACTCATACAGGAGGGTGGAATTCAGCATGGGGCAATCACCACTGCTTACACTGTTTGTGAGTTCACCAACAGGAATGGGATTTAAGGGAAGCAGCTCCATTAATCTCCTACAGGCCATCCTGTCTCTCTCTCTGCACTGTAGCTGCCACAAAACAGTCTCCCTGCTGGCCTTCACCTTGTCCTCTTTGTCCCTTGTTGGATTACTGCTGACACAGTGACAGCTGGAGGGCCTGCATGAACTGTGAGTGAGCAGTTGTGCTCTCTATCTAGAGAATGCAGGGTGCTGGCTGGTTATCTCTATGGCTCAATTAACTTGCAAGCAATCAGCAGAATCAGCATTTCAGTATTTTTGTATGATGTGAATGCCAGATTCCAGGCAAGAAACGAAGTCTTGAGGAAGAAGAGGGATTTGCTGTCTGATGCCTTCAAGAAGCTAAAGGTCTGAAATGAGTCCTCATAAGATCAGAAAAGCCACCTAAGAAATCAAACGAACTCCTATCAGAGCAAAGGAAAAACTCCCACCAGCAGAGCTGCAACTTAAGGGAAAGAGATTGCCTGAAACACAGGAAACAGGCCAAATTCTGCCTCAGTCACACACATAAACCTAGTATTATCTCCACCATGAACAACTTCCCTTTATGGTTACAGACTCCAGAACAACTCCAGAATAACTTTCTTTAGTTAATGAAGGGATAGCGTGGCAGCTGCAGGTCCAGCTGGAGAGCAGCATCAACTCAGTGAACACTTCCCTAACATTTTTTTCTTCTGTAACAGGTATATCTAAACTCAACCTAGATACCAGGATGGAAATCTAAAGAGAGCAGAGCTCTCTCATACAGAATCTTTCTGTAAAAGACATGAATAATAAGATAAAAAGATCTCTCTTAGTATTTGGGCATTTCCACTGTTTTATTTGGAGCAGTGAGTAGAGGCACAAGTAATGGAAGAAAGAGTCCATGTGTGCAGGGAGGGGAGGGAAGGCTAAGGACAAGTTAACCAAAATTCATGTAAGCCCAAGCAAACTGAGCTGAAAGTTTTGCAGGAAACTTTTTCTCCAATTCCTAGCAAAATTCCAAATCTTTAGCAAGTTCACTACTCCTTCAGTTAAAGACACAACATCCTTCCCCAAGTCCAGAGTGGAACTATCACAGTTTACAGTAGCCAAGTGTTTGATATAATATGCAGTGTGTCTTATGGAGAATTTCAAAGTGTCACACCCCAAGGACATCTGGGGAAGAAGGGGGTGGATGCAAAATGGAGTTAAATAAACAGCATTTCTGTCTCAATAAATAGCAGGAAACCAAGGGAGACAGCAGCCAGCAGGGCAGCATTCAGCTTCACTGCAGAAAAGGGACTGAAGAATCATGAATCAACAGCAGCAAGTAAAGAAAAGAGGAAACAAAAATCAGGAAAGAAAAAGAAAATCACTGGCCTGGGTTACAGTGAGAGAGGACATCTCAGGTGTAACACCACACATTTGTGCTATGAAAGGGAAAGCTGTGGTGGAGCCTGTGCATCTGTGCATGGATGGGGAGGAACAGATAAAGGGATATGTGCTTGTGTCCTCCAGGTGAGTGAAAGACATAGAGGGTTGTTAAGGGGTGGGGAGTCTCGCAAAGAGCGTGGGGGAGCAGGGATGGGGAAGGGGAGGAGGTGCAACAGGACAGGACGGCGCATTATTATGTTGCTCAGCAGGGGCTGGGGAAGGTGAAAAGGCAGAAGGGAAGGAAGTTCTTACCACATTTGGAAAGTCTGCCAGTCATCAACTCCATACAGTTAGTGGTGTCTAGATCATAGAACGGAAAGAGGAGGGAGGGAGGGAAAAACATAAAAAAAGGTTTCCATACCTCTGTGCATAAAGTAGTAACTTAGCACATTATTACCTGAAGCAGGAAACATATACACAACTTGGTGTTTACACAACCCAGGCCAAATTCTGCCACCAACTCTATGCCAGTGCAAACCTGGCCCTGTGACTGAGAGTGGAGCTGCTTCAGTACTGCTGCCTCCACTCACCCCTTTATCGTAGCTAGAGGTATTTATGAGATGTGGGAAATACTCTGCCACCACTATTAGCAAACTATAAGCCTTGAATACAGTGTTTTACCTGTCTAGCTTTGCAAATTAGCCTGTAACAGCCAGGAAATGTTCAGCCAGGTCATATATCTATATCAAAAAACCTGGAGAGAGGGAAGAAATCTAGCCCTGTGCTGTTGGACATGGAGTGAGGCTACTTGTACAGCTCAAAATAGTCTTTTAAACCCCACAGGATAATGTCAAAGTTTCAATCTAACTCTCTCATTCAAGTGTAATCTCTTACTGCTCTTGCCTTCAAGGTCAGCATTCAGAGGCAATAGAAGCACTTCTGGAAAGGGTGGCAGAACCTGGCCCTAAGACATTACTGTCCAGTTTGTGTACAGCTCCCATTGCCACAGACTCTGGGCGCTTCTTTCTCAGGTGCAACAAGCAGAAGGAGCTCCACCTGTCAGCTTTAAAACAGAAAGGCCCAGCCCAGATGGACGCTTCCATGTGGAACCTGCTGGCAAGCCAGATCTGCTGCTGCCAGTCATTGCATTTGGGATCTAAATCAATGTGTTCCTGGGCAATGTGGAGTACTCACTGCTGAGCAGGTGAATACCAGTTAAAGCAGTCAGATCAATCTCAGATCTCCCCTTGCCTGGGCTCTTGATGAACACTTGGGTATTCAAGAAACAGGCTTCTTGGAAAAATGCACACATATGCTGAAATCTCTAATTGCCAGGAAGCTCTAACTACTCCCTATCTGCTATAAAGTCTGCAGGACAGAGGGGAAGATAATTTCTCAGCATTCCTCCCCTTATATATTGAGAAAAGTAATTTCATATGAGGAGGAAGATGCTAGTGCGAGCTGAACTCATGCCAGAAGAGCATGGATATGCATCTCTTCTGATGCAGCCAGGCTTGTGCTGCATAGATCATCTCGGGAAGCATGGAGTAGAGAGGGCAGCTTCTTGGTCCAGTGACACTGGCCAAAGCATCTAAGCAGTGGTCAAATGATCTCCATCCCCAAGGCTAAAGGTGGGCAGGCAGAGGTCAGTGGGAGATGATACCCATGGAAGTTCTCTCAGAAAGGCACAAGACTGAGAGAAAGGGGAAGAAGGACAGAGGTGAAGAAAAGAATATTCAAGCTCTAGAACAACAGAGGTGTCAGAGAGGCCAGGAGTTTACCTGCCTTTGAAATTCTTTGCCTAGTCTGGCAGGCAAAGAATTTCATATACAGTATAATTTCAATACATTTCTCCCTGAAGATGCCTAGCAGGTTTGAGAAGTGCTTACAGTTACTGATCAAGTCAATAACTAGAAGTCACACTCATGGGTCTGTATAATTTTTTTTTCTTTACTAACTTGGAGAACTTTGTTGTCTCATGCCTTTTAGGGGTTCCTGTCCAGTCCCCCTCAGAGTCACCTACCCTTTGCTGTAATGCAAAGTGATGCAGATCTACAGTGGTAGAGCCCAGAGCATTCACACAACCATTAGCAGAATTTAGCTTTGAAAGAACATATAAGAGCAAAGAAAATCTCAAAATATGACCAGAAGACCGTTTCTGACTCCCACCTCCAACACCTGGAATTTTCCCCTCAAGTCTATCCAGACTGACTGGCCACATAGTAACCAGAAATCTGAGGAAAAAAGTCGTATTTGGATAATGTCAGAGCAGGTAAACATTGTGCTGGTTACTAAGAGACTCCTGAAACTGGTATTTCTGTTTTATTCTTCATTTTAACAAATTAAAAAGTAATCATGTCTCCTTAAGTTAATACTGTCTTTTTTCCTAAGTCATTTGCAGTCAGCACAGCTCTTTGGTACTTAAAGCCAGTTGTGTCACAGGTCTACATACATTAGTTGTGTGATTAGAATACAAGCTGACAGACCTACACACAAAAGAAGGATTGTAACAGAGGCTCTTTGACAGCTGAATATCTTGGGCTCTGGACCCCATTTGGTTCCCAAAAAAGTAAGTTTGCATGTTATAGAACTAGTTTTGATGGATAAGAAAAAATTTCTGAAACATGAGACCATGGAAAAAAATCAAACTAACACTAATAAAACTTCTAATTTGTCTTTCTCAAAACTTTTATGCATAACTATGTTTTGAATTCTCTATATTGTCAGGGCTAGTCCCAGGAGCTTCACAGGAATTTATTTTTATCTGTATTGTCTTTCCAACACCTGATAGAATTGTTTTTCCCCCAATACCTAAGGCAGAGCCTGCATCACTTGAAAGACACAGTGTTAATGTGTCTTCAGCTTATTTTAGAATATTTACTTTAATGCTTCTTTCATTTCCATCATATTGTAACATTTGCATTAGTAAATACTCTATGTGATAAAGTATTCCATAATTTTAAAGCAGAATTTTTATTCTAATTGGAAGTCTTAAGATTCTTGCCAGTCAGCTTCTCCTCATGGATAGTAATCCATAATCCAGTGACTGTGGGAGCCAGGTGTTATGAGAAGTGAATAAAGCCAGCGTCCAAAGGCTTTTAACTGTCTGAGAAGCACTGATGGGTCATGTAACTGCATTTTTAAGGTGTTTTGTTTATTTTTAAAATTAAAACATAGGGGCAGTGTCAGCTCTCAATCTCTCTGATGATAAGGCAATTCCGTATTTTATAGGAACTGTTGGAAGTCACTCACACTTTAGACTTGATCAAGGCTCTTTCATAAATGACACCCAGTTCAGTTCACTAACAGATAGCAAATGATTTGGTTGAAATAAGGCCTCCCTTCAAAAGGGCAAACAAGCTCTGAATCCATTAAAAACTACTAGCCCTCTGTTGATTTTCTTTCACAATTTTCTTTATTCTTTAATTTCCATCCTACACAGATGTCACAAGGAAGCTGCCTGGTTGGTGATGCTTCTGATCTCTCCTAGACCCGTCCCAGCCCAGGAAATCTCACCCAAACAGCTGCTCCTTGGAGAGCTCCAAATCCAGGGCTGGTCCCAAGAAAGCACTGAGCAGCTCCTGCCAGATGCTCACAGTCCCCAGGAAACACTTCCACTACAGGAGATGATGCCAAGGGGGCCACCAGCTCCTCTGATCCAAGGCAGTTATCATGCAGATTGAAATTCCCCACTGTTTTTGTGCTTATTTGAAATTCCCTGTTTTCCTATCAAAACTCTGGAGAGCTTGGGCTTTTTTCTACATGCTTTATTTCTGGACTACCAGGAACTATTTCAGTTCATTTTAATGCAGGCTGTTCAGAAATAATACTAAAGCTGTTCAGCAAAAACACAGTGTTCTGCCAATCCAACCAGGCATTACAGGGCACTTTTTGTAGTTGGAACTATGACAGCAAGATGAAGTAATTACCCTAGACACTACAAGAATGTAAGACATAAAGGGTCACAGAAGATTGCAGGAAACTTGAGGCCTGAATGAACTCCAGAAAAAGCTAACATGCAATCCAATTCCAAACTGGCATTTGCAGAGTCCTTTTATTTTGAGTGTGCAGCTGGAAGTTTACCCTGCAAAGCACTTCATTTGCTCCTTACTCCTTTTTCCATCTTGATAAAATCCTTTGCACATTTGGAAACTGTAGCTTTCTTACTTTTGGGGTTTTTTTTTGTGAGCCATAAAATACCTGAAACTTGCAGATCAGTGCTCTAGTAAGAATTTGCACTGCCCTCTTTTGAAGCTAGATATGGTCTCTAAACTCTTGTTTATGTTGATGAAAGGCACTCCCAGCAGTAACAGTGAGATACTCTGAACTTGGAGATGTCAATAGTTAAAATCCAGTATGAAGCCAATAAATATAACAAGGAAACAGAAAACCTTTTACAAAGAAGTTTTAAAGGTTATTTCAGTATTGCTGATTGCCCAGTACATGGGAAAATGGGAAAAATTTTGAATATGTAGCATTCCACACTTAAAACCAAAGCTCAGAGAAGCAAGAAAGTATTAGGGAAATAAAAATTGCTACCCTATGAGCGATCACAGATGGCTTTTGCATGCCCCTATTCACCAGCTGCTACTATTACTCTTTCATGCAAAGGCATCAGAGAAAAACAGATCATGATTTAATGGAAAGAGTGCTGGGCTGAAACAAAGGAGCAAATCTGAAATATCATCCTCCATGGAGAGAGATCTTTTTATCCCAGCAAAGGGCAGTCTGCTCAGGGGTTGCCTAAGTGGAGATCCTAAGGGCCCTGGATGGAGCCATTCACGGACAAGAGACAATGCTGACTGCTCTCACAGACAGTGAGACTCCCTCCTCATCCCAAACTGGTCCTTTCATGGTCTCACTGAGTGTAATGGCTTTTGTGACACCAGTAACAAGCACACATGGACAACTATTCTGGTTCAGATCAAAGACCAAAACCATCTGAGAGTCAGACAATCCTTGTGGGTCCCTTTCAGCTCAGAATATTCTGTGATCTGGTTCTCTGTCTCCCTCAGCAGCTCCACAGACACCCAGGAGTGCAAGAGCAGGCCAAGCATACAGAACACTTCCCCTACCACTGCCTCACTCACCACTGTCAGGTCAGAGGTTTCCTGAACCCGCTGTAGTTTCCCTGTTTAGCAATCCCATAAAGATTTCTCTGCAGGGAGTTATCCAACCTCCCTGTCAGTAAGAAGTATTCAGGGGAAGATGAGCATCTGTTAGCCCCTCACATTCAGCACCTGTTTCAGTGAGGAGTTCCACCAGTTCTAGATTACATGAAGACATGTTTTTCCAATGGCTTTCTTGGTACTTGCTTCCACTGTCTTATGCTGGCCTCTAGTTTCTTCCATCAGGAAGACAAAATGAACAATCAATCCCTATTTACTTGTTCTATGCAAGTCATGAGTCACAGACCTGGTATTGTCTCAGCAGTTACGGCACAGAGCTCCTGAAACATCAGCATACAAAACTGGTATGTTTTGTATTGAGACAGTGGATTTTAGAAGTATTACATTAACTTATGGAATGGATTAAATTTATTTACACTTTCTTTCAGGTAAGGGAGGGAATCTATTTTCCTGCTTCAGAGTATGCCAGAAGAAATACGCACAGCCAGTCTTAGAAAGGACAAATGGAAGTGAATGAGAGGGATATATGGAGGAAGGGATATTATAAGGTGCTCAAGTGTGACACAGAAACACATCTGCCTAAATCAGGTACATAACAGGCTCACACACACACAGAGATGCATGGGCAACATGACATCTACAAACACTGTTGTCAACTGGAGGAATGAAAAAGAGGAAAATGCATTCTGAAACCCAGGCAGGCCGGCTCAGGGGGTTGGGATGCTGCACAGCAGATCAGAGGGGCAGCAGACAGAATGACTCTCACTGCCATGTGTTTGTTAGGTCTTGCTGTTCTGCTTTATACTGAAATAATTAAATCTTCCCCTTCTGCAGGTTTCCTTTTACATGCATGCACCTTTCACAGATTGTTTTCATCATCCCACCTGTAAGAGCATCAGGACTGTAAGGCAGGAGAGACAAGACACACAGGATGTGTCTGTGCATGAGGAGCTAGGAAAAGCTCCAGTGCTGAACCAGTGCTGCTGGTCAGGGGACAGCACCATGCTCAGAGCCATGGAGGAAGAAGTCTAAGTGAAGGTGAGCTCCATCTGTTGCAGCAGCAGACTGCCTACAGAGAGTCCTCAAACCATGAACCTGAACAGGGCCCAACCACCACAATCTCTATGCGGTGTTCAGAGTCGGCAGTATGGGAGGAGAAGAGAAACAGAGAAGACTTTTCTTTGTTTCTAGTGAGAAATGCGGATTAATTCCATGACAATTTCTAGGAAGATTTTGCACGTTTCCAACCAGACACCCAAATAAGAAAGGTGCTGAATATGAACTCTTCTGTCCTTTATACTTTTATTTTCCCTTAATCTCACTGGCTGGGGATGTGACCTACTGGGCCACCCTACTTTAATGCAAAGGTTGTCTCTTTTTTGGTAACAGTCCCTTTATTTCCCTTCCCTTCCTTTTCTCTCTTGTATGCTGCTCCAACCTAAAATTTTCAGGTTGACTGCTCTCATTTTCAAGAGAGACTTGCATATTCCTGATCAGATCAGGTGGTGTGATACAGAACAGTTGGGCACGCTGTCTCATGAGCTGTCTTGCTTGAGCAAATCCCCAGCCAAGGGAATTCACTCTTTTAAAATTCAAGAGACCATTAATTTTGATTTTGCTCCATGTGGAGTTATCTGTTCCACTCTGGCATTTGAGGTCAGGCTGGGTTTTCCCTACCAGAACAATATGCTCTCATGTAGCTTCAGGTGGTAGAAATATCATGATTTTTCCATTCCAGAACCAGAGCAAAACTGTTAAGTCAGATACATTTCTCATAGCAGAGTATGCCCATAACATTGCCCTGAGTCTTGGTCAGATTAATGGCTTTTATTCCTGCTGCAATATGGCTTTTTTAGGGAGATATCCTGCTTCACATGCAAGTGTGCAGGGGAGTTCAGGTTTTTCTATAGAGCTTCAGTAGATAGCACATATTAGGGTGAAGAAGTTAAGAGAGACCATCAAGTTATATACTTTATAAACCATATTTTCCTCACAGGAAAGTAAGGGTACACTTCATTCCTGAAGAAACAAGGAATACTCGAATATTGTCATACATCAGGAATAATATGAAATACATTTAAAGGAGGCTTCCTATCTCAATCCCCTCACTCCCACTAAGCCCTAGCATTTCCCAGGAGGAAGGGCTGGCAAAAATTTCTAGCTGCTTCCTTGAATTTTATTTAATTTCAAAAGTCCAGACAGCAAAAGCCTAAATCAACCATACTTTTAGTGTCCTCATTTTCCCTGCTTCTGAACAGAATAACCCATGTGCTGGGCACCGTTGTATTCCAGCACGCAGAAGGATCAGGCAGTGCTGGAGGCCAAAAGCAAAGAGGACACTGAACTGAGCATATTTCTCTCTCAGGTACTAGGCTATACACTTCTAGATGCAGTTAATTTATCTTTGGATGCTAAAGCCACAGTTAGACCAGAAGGATGTAACCCATATGTGCAACAAGCAGAGGACATCTGGGACTTAATTGGAGGATGCAATGCCAACTTAACTCCCCCACTTTTGTCTTGGCTTGTTCACACAAGGGTCAAGAACAGAATTTGGCTCTAAAGCATAATATTTATTCACTTCCTTTTCATCTCCCACTCCTTCTGCCTCACTGTCCTCTGCTGCAGCCTCTGCTCTCCATCTTACTCCTATTTATCTCCAGTATCCACACATTCTTTCTGCTTTTCCCTACTTTTCCTTCCTTGATGCATTCCCAATAGCTTATCTGCTTTAAGTTTTCAATTTTCACCTTCTTCTTTGTTCTGTCCTTTTAGAGGATAGAAGAGTTACCACAGAGATTTTGTGTGTGTACAATCACTTCAGTGTTCAGAGTGAACACCTGCTACATAAAGATGGGATGAGGCCAGTTTTAATATTATCAATTCAGGCTGCCTGCACATCCAGATTGATGTCATTGCTCAGGGTCACACATGTAAGGCTTTCTCTACCACCACGAGGAATTGAAATTTACTTTTCAAATAGATAAAATATAGCTTCTGCAGAACCTTAGTATATAATTTGTGCTACCACAGTATTGAGAATTGGATCACACTGCTGGAAACTATTAGCCACCTTCTGACCACATGTTAATGGCTAAGTTAAAAGTAGCTCTCAAGTTTGTTCGGGGACCCACTGAAGCTGGAGGTTTCTAAAGTATGCCTGAAGGGATTGAAAATCAAGTATCCTCTAGAGCGTCAAGTGTCCCTACTCTGGGAGATTCTGGAACTGGAGAAAATCTGGAAGATCTGTTGATGATGTAGCTTTTGATGGAGAAGTGGGCAAATGGCTCTCTGGGTGGGCAGAGGGCAGAAACTGTTCAACTGGGGAATGCACTGGGAGCACTGGAGGGGGAATGAGAAACGGAGGAGTAGGGTGGGAGCAGGGAGTTACTGCTCTGTCTGAATGGAGCTTGTTTTTTGCTGTAATCAGAGGGATGGCCTCCCTCAGCCTCCTGCTATGAGAGGCATTTCACCTTCCTGTCCCTGCTGAAGTTGCTGGGACAGCAGTAGAAGCCACTTACCTGATAACTGCTGCACTGAAGGCTGGTCATGTGTGCTTAACAACTGTGCCTGAATGGTTTCTACTACCCTCTTAAAGCGACGGCTTGGACCTGCCAGGAGAGAAGAGGCACAAGAGGCTGTGAGAGCAATGGGAGCCAAGCCCACACACAAGGCTGCAGGGGAAGGATCACAAGTACCTTCCCTTCAGTCTTGTCCCCAGAAATGTCCTGACTGTGTCTCTGACCTTCAGCCAAAGGGACTATGGTGTGCTGGGCTCAACAGGAAGAGGAATGTCTTTGGGGCTCCTTTTGTAAAGACAGAAAAGGTGAGGGGGTCTGCTTCTTTGTTGCAACCCCTGTGGGGGGCATGTGGCCACCCAGAAGAAAAGGGTGAGTGCATGTTTTGCTCAGAAGGAAGACACTATGGCCTCACAGCGCCCAGCTGAGACTCTGGAACTTCTGAATGAAACAGGGAGCCATTACCATGAGTTACACCAAAACTGAACAGCCATTTTAGCACTAATCATGGCAGTGCCAACTTCACCTCTTTGGGAATCTCCTTCCCTCCTTGCATTTCCACCACTACCAACACCATTTCTCTTCCTGATGTCCTCTTTGCCTCTGACTGAATTTTCCTGAGGTTAAGCCAGTTATTTGTTTTTCCTCTGGCAGAGCAATTTGGAGGCCTCTATTATCAGCAAGGACCAAGTCAGCTCGCACCCATTTTAGAGCTTTGCCATGGTTACCTGATAAGAGTGTGAAAGTGACAGAATAGATCCCGTTCTCCTTCTGCGCCTCTCCCCCTTCTGTGTATGTTATGTCCACCTGGAACTTCACTGGCTTCTGGAAGACAGCAGGACCTCCTGTGGACTTATATTCTGCACGGAAACTTGTCTGTGAGATGACACTGTGACTGAGACTTGGGATCTGAAAGAGGTTGGTAGAAGCAGATAGTAGAACCAGTGCTGAAGGGAAGAAATCTGAAAAATTCCATTTATAACAACACACATTTCCAGAATGAGTAACATTTGCTAGATTTGCTTCTGGTCTTGAATTTTTAATGTACAGTGCTCTTGTGAAACCAGTAAAAGCATAGGTTGCTGGGCACCACAGAGGTGCCTAGATCTAAATTTAAGGGTTGAATATTGGTGGAATACCCAATGCACTTATGAATTTACACATGTTACTAAACTTCATACAGTCAGTCTTTCTTTTCCTACTCATCCACCAGTTTTGAGAAATGCCTTTTGCTGAGCAAAAAGTGAGCGGGCAGAAAAGTCAGTGGGATATAAAACTGAATATAAAAAACACCTAAGTAGCCTGGTCTGATCTTGCAGCTGATCCTGTTTTGAGCAGGAGACCTTCTGAAGACCTTTCCATCTTCAGTTGCTTGGTGATTCTGTGATGTCAGATAGACATCAGGACACTTGAATTGCTTGGAACATCCACAGGGAAAGCATGCCTGCAAATAACTCACTCAAACTTCTATCAATATGTAAAAAAACTCTGATAAGCTATGTGACATCATCCAACATCTGTATATTCAGAACCACAGTGGAATTTCATAACTTCCTAATTTTCAAGCAGTTACCTTTCACACTTTCCTCCAAAACTTAACAACATACTCGTATTCCATTTATTGCTTCATAAAGGACCAGATTTTAAAAAAACCCAAAAAATTACTTGGAAATCTGGTCTCTAACTTCTAGGAGGAAAATGAAGATGAGTTATTTGAGAAGCTGACTTTAAGGGGTTAATTAGCAGGCTATGACAATGCATTTAAGTTTGGATGTTGCTGTAAGAGACAAGTCACTGTTTTTGCCCACATGTCCCTATACCACACCTAAACCACACATGGGGTATACATATAGGATATATATACAGGATCACCAGTACAGAGAGTAGAACACGCTGCACAACAATACAAACCCAAAAGCACAGCTAAATGCATGAAATTGATACAGTAACATGACTTATAACCAACCTGGGATGGACACCAGTGTCTGATGCCCACTACTGTAATGCACTTACTCCTTGTGTGCTTGTACAGTTACAAGGGTTACAGCTGATTTTTTTGAAGAAGTTCATTGCAGAATCACAAAGACTAAAATGGAGTTCAGCATTTTGTGGAAAAAAAAAATCAATATAACAAACTATATAAGAAATCAAGTTTCCTTTTAATTCTATTGGAAAAAGTCTAATTATGTTGTTGACTACCTTGAATTGAAAAATCTCTGAAATTACCTTTGCTGTGCTGACTTTTTCATCACTGGTACCTCTAGATAATGAGAACAAGAACTTTCTATAGGAAAAAAAGACAATTCCCCTCTGCTTTCTTCACATCTGCAACAACTGAAACTCTGGACACCAGAAGAAATTACCCTTCTTTCTGCCATACAGCACTGAAGTGGGGATTTAAAGTAACAAATGCAGATGTAAGACAGGCCTTTTGTCTGGCTGAAGTGGTGGAGGACATACCCATCAAAGGGAGACCCAATCTGCTGCCCAGCCGGTGACTGTAAGGCTGATTTGACAAAGCAGCAAATCACTGTCTTGATACTGTGCCAGCAGTGTGCTCCACTGCTGAGGAATTCCAAACTCTGGCAACCTGGAGGCCTTGCCAAGAAGGCTGAAATCTTTTCTCACCTTAGAGAGTATTATCTAGAGTCAGTAATTCACATACAGTCCTATGCAGGCCACGTAAATTAAATCCACAGAGGATGCTTTTGAAGGAGCAGAGCCCCTGTCCAGTCACATTTGGCACATCAAGTGACCAGTGAGTGATGCCTCCAAGAGGCAGCTGGGGTGACTCACCGAGAGGAAAGCGTGGACTATATCAGCCTTAATGGAGCTTAATGGTTTGTCCTTAATGACCACAAAAATCTGTTCTTCTTTCTCCAAGTTGATGAAATTACCGAACCAGGATTTTTTGGCAAGCCTGATGTGATGAAAAGAAAGAGATGTTTAGAATGCGGAACTATTTCTTATTTCATACACGCCCCTAGCTAGAAAAAATATGAAAAAACACATGAAAAAGTTTTGATGACACTCCAGATGTGATGGTATTACTAATAAGTGAGAAATAGTATCAGAGAACATCCAGAACGACATTTCACTTGGTGAAAACCGATGAAATGACAGACCACACAGCCTAGGTCTGGCAGTATGTGTCAGCAATAATGAAAAATCAGGAGCAAGGGTAACTCTTCTAACTGGGCCAACATACCAGCGAATACTGCATATACAATATACATATAAATCAGGGGACACATTTCTGGTTTGCCTCCAGGGATGTCTCCATTTCTTGTGACAACATGCAGATCCGGGCAATATAAAGATTTAAGTTCCTTCCCACCCAATTTCAACTCCTTTGGAAAGATGCTTTCCCGAAGGTGTCCTGTACAATCACAAGACCTTGCTTGTTGAAGCAAGCTGTAGATTTCACTGGAGCTCCAAACTACCAGTGAGTGAAATGCACATTTATGCAAGGCCAGGACTAAGACTGTCCTGTTCATTAGTCCCATTCAGGGTGTCTGTATAATGGGTGAGCTCTGGCCAGTCTACAAAGGAATGAATTTTAAGTATTAAGAAAGGAGATAACAACATCATGCAAGACACAGTTCAGGCTTTCCATTGACAACAGTTCAGCTCCTCAGTGTGTTCCAGCATCAGACAGTGGTTTCATCGTAAAACAAAATTGCTCTGTTTTTTCACAGTGATCCTATCAGCAAACGTTTGATTTTGCTTATTGTTTAACCATTTCAATGCACTTCATTGACATTGGCTTTTAAGGTAAACAGGCTAAAGGAAGAATGCAGGGACATGAATGTTAATGAGAGACACTATCCAGACCTGAAAGTAGCATCTCTGACAGGTGTGGTTTTGTGAGGAGAAAAGCTGTCAGCTGTGAGATGCAGCCAAAGACTTGCTAGACCAAACTAAATCCAGGGAAAACCACACCTGAATCAGCCATATTCTAGTAGGAAAGAATTCAGCATGAAAATGACAGAAATGTAAAGACCTGCCACCAAGAGACTGCCTTTTTTCTCCTTTACAGCATACTTTATAACACCAAATCCAGTTTGCAGTATGGCAAGCAAGAGGGTGGACCATCCATCCCTCAGTGGAAGAGGACAAGCTCTCCAGACAAGGAGAGCCATCCGCAAAAGGGATTACTACACACCAGTTTTCCAGCAGAGCAATAAACAGCTGGAGCAAGCTGATAGCAGCCTCAATTTCTGTGGCAAAGTGAGGCAGAGGAAGGACAGAGGCTAAGAGAGAGAGGAGCAAACTAAAACTAATTTGAAGTCTAGGCCTTCAGGATAAAGAACAAGGCTTGACCTCAGCAGTGTCCAGGAATTTGCACTCATTCCCCATTCCAGAGTACTCCATGAATTGTGCAGCTGTGGGCCCACTGCCCATTTAATGCACACAGCAGAAAGACCACAACTGAAAGAGCACTCAGCTGGGCAAATAATGATTTGCTTCATTTACTGCAGGCAACCAAAAATAAGAGCAGAGAAAGATTCACTTGCAATTTGGTTAAAACAGTGCCCCCCACTCAATTAAAGTGGGCTGGAAAACTGTCACTCCCTAAAATATTCATAGGCAGCTGTAAATAAGCCAGTGAGCCAGAGATTAGCATAGGGAGCAGTAAAGAGAAAGGGCCTCTCATTTAAACGGTCGTTAAGGAGCCAGGGTTAGAGTGAGAAAGAAAATTACATACCAATTAGCTCATGTGTCTCTCACACACCACAACAACTCTGCAAGCCCCTGGAGAGCTGGGGCAATAGCTCCCTGCATGTAAGGGGTCTGTGCTCGTTAGTAAATTAGCACCTGGTTATCCATCTAAAACGGCTGCTGGTCTTAGGCTTGGATGTATCATCATCTGAACTGGGGCTGGCTGGATGGACTCCAGGGGCCAAGGGGAAGCACGGGCCTGGAAAAGTGTGCTTATTTAATTACAGGTCTGCCATCTTAAAATATGGCTTTTCATTTCTGTATTTTCACTAATGGTTTTGCTGGCCCTTATAGGTCTCTTAACAAGCACCTTGTCTCGTAACAAGGGCCCAGAACATTGGGAGTTTTTCCCCCTCTCAACATGGTCTGGAGTCTCCAGAATCCATCTGGGCTCTTTTCCTTGGTGAGGTTATCACCAGTAATAGCGAGTCTGGAAGATTCACTGCTAGCCTGGGCTATGCTCCAGCTTGTAAATCATTTGAATTCACTAAAATAATTTTGCTGGTGTCACATAAGACAGAATAGATGCCAGTGGCCTCTCCTGCTTCTGTAATGAGAAGAATCAAGACACAGCACATATGCACTGGCTTTTCTCCCCGAAACTGGCAGAACTAGCTGTACTCATACAGCTAGGGAATAGGTCCACTGAGAAGAGGGGACAGTTTGGAGTAAAATTACACAAGAAAGCCTCTTCTCCTCTTAGAGGGCATTAAGTACTACTAACTTGGGTTAAAATGCATATGAATCCTCAGCACCCTGAATGACATGCTCTAGCATCTCTCAAGATCTGGCTGTAAGCAGAAAAAAATGCACTTAAATTAAGAGTCTTCTCTTACCAAGGCAAACTTCTTAAAGGGGGAATGAGATAGGAGATATGTGGGGGAGGCTGGGTATGTAATTACACTAGGGAATCCAATCAGGTGTCCAGTTGATGAAAAAGCAAAGAAAGGAGCATGAAAATAGAGGCTGGTGCTTTATTACTTCACACAAAAATTTTTCACTCTTATAATGTTGTTCTTTTTCCTACTTTTGGAGTGCCTGACCATGTAGCTTTCTGTGCTCCCTCTCTGTCTCTGAGCACATGGATCAGTAACCTCCACAGGTTTACCCGCCTGGCATGAATAAGCAGAATTTCTACTCAAGCAAATGGAGCTTTGCAGGTTTAAAGCAGCTGGAGCTAAGTCTCTTTAAATGTCATCCCTAACACATTTTCTAGGGCTTTTTCACATGAGAAAGAACAGCATTACCCAGACATGTCAAAGTGTATTACTTAATCATCAGGTCTCTTAAATGAATGGCAGGCATTGCTGCACCAGACAGAGCTAGGACATGTATTTATCACTCAACCCATGAGGTCAGTACAGCTCTTGATAAGGATATCTTATTTCTTACAGAAAAGAAGAAAATATGGTAAAAAATAAGATATGTGGAAGTGGGCACTGAGCAAAAGACATATATCACTAAAATATAATCTAGTTCATTAGTTTTTATGACTTTTATTATGTTTACTGCAGGGTGCAGCCCAATTGAACTCATTAATTTGGCAATTATACAGAAAAAGAAAAGAGGGCCTTAGGCTTTGACTTGCATCCAAACTACCTCAAATGATAGGCACTATTTCTCTCCACCAGCTTTTAAAGAGTGAGTGGGAAGCAGGGAAGGCGATAAATTAACAGCAAAACTTCTACCAACATACATACAATGAAGAGAAGAAATTTAATTCTAAAGGCTTTCTGTTTTAATGGCGTTAAAAACATGTGAGTATTGTATATTTCTGGGATAATGATGTGCCAGTTTTATGAATCTGTCTCATGCCCCTCTCTTAGTAAATGCTGGAAAATGTTGAAAACACAGTATATTCCATTTTTTTTCCTGGATACCTTTACTAATCCCTACTTCTCCCTCTCCTGAAGTATTTATCCCTCATTCTGCAGTCTTTATCCCTCATTCTGCAGTAGAGTGTCCATCTCACACCTGATAAAAGCCAGATCTGGGGGCAAGTTGTGACGACAATACCACTGTCACCATTTACAAAACTTTAAGCTCAAAATTCCCATCCAAAACTCATGAATATTTCATACAAGTCTCTTAACAAGAGGCCAAATTGCCTTGGTTGGCAGGCTAAGTCTATGGGCATTGGGTGCACAAACACAAGCTGTGAAAATAAAAAGGAATAATTTGGCATCTGTTGCATATTAGGAAGTGTTTGGAGCAGTACTCTGGCAGGAACTTCCAAACCTGCCATGCAGTGATGCACATTTGTGCAGTGAAATGGTTGAAATGTACACTGACTTTAAGGAATGAGCCTGGTGAATATGAAACAGCTTCTCCACGTCCCAGTACTGCTGCCTAGAATTAACACTGCATTTACTCTCGCAGCCAAAAATCCCTCTGAATTATCTTAGCAGAACCTCCTGCATGCTATCTTGAGGATGCAAACTCTCCTGTACTAAATGGAAGACTTTTTGGTGCACAGTTAGTGCCAGTATAAGCCACTGATTAGCCTCTCCAGTCCCAAAGAGCAATCTACTTGACAACCAAATGAATGAAGAGAGAAGAAACAAGTTACAAACCCAGCAAATTCAGCAAGCCGTGAGAAAATAACGTGGTTATGGGAGACTGTTTCATCATCTGTTGACCCCCATTGCTTTACTGAGGTACAGATTTTATGCAGGGTCCTCATCAAAAGAATAATTTCACATCTCTATCCCACCCACAGGACAACAGATTACAAACAGATACTGATCCAGAACAGAAATATGTCAGCTTATGACATTCAGGCCAGGAAACGACACTGGTATTTGGTGGAAAAAAAGGCAAAGTACTTACTCTGGGGATGATTCTGGGGTTAAATTAGACATCTCTTCTGGTGTAGGTACTGCTCGTGCATGGACAGCCAGAGAGAGGGAGGGAGAAAAGAAATATGATTCAGTACACCTTCCATTTTCATCTTGCACACCAATGAAACAATTCTGCACTTGCTCGCATCTGCCCATTGCCTCTGCAGGCTAATTCTGACATTTAAATGCTGGTCATATGTCTCTAGAGCTTGGCATCTAAACAAGTGCTGTATTTCAAGGCTCACCCTACCCTTAGGTCATTAGGTAATCTTGCACTGGCTTCAGTGGTTTCTGGTCCAGACCCAAGCACACTGTGCCAATGCAACTCTGTTGCCATCGCCTCAAGGCCCAGCTGGACGCAGCTCAGTCACTGCTGCAATTCTCTGCAGCTCTCTGACCACCTCAGAGACAATGGCACTGACCATCACAGCTCAAAATCCAATTATACCATGGCTGTAATCCTCCCTTCCCATGGGATCACATCCTGGTACCCTGTAAAACCAGACGGTGTTGGAATAGCTGCTGCTGATGTCCAAGGATAAGGTATGTGACTTTGGGTGCCCTTTGCTGGCATGCAAAAAATGCATTTACACCTGGAGCCCAAGGAATAAAATTTTGCACATCTCAACACTCTAGAGACTTAGAAAACTGAAGTAGGCCAGCAGATATGAAACCACTGATTGTATTAAGGAGATTTTTGCACCAATTACCAAAGGAGGCAAAAAAAAGCATTAACCAAGATCAAAAAAGCTGTGCTTCAGAAAGACAATTTCAGCCTATTGCCTCTGGCTGTCTTTTTTTTCAGCATAAGGCTGTGGCTGTGGAGAGGCAGTGGAGCACAGCCACAGGGGAAATGGCTGAGCCCTAGGCTCACTTGCAAAGCAAGTGAAGAAGCTTGAAGCTTGAAGAAGTGAAGACAGATTTATCTTCAGGTCTAAGAGCCACAACAGGGTTAGTAAGAGCTGCACAGCTGGAGTGTGGGCAGTGAAATGACAGAGCCTGCTCACATGTGGGTTAGGGCTTGGCTGATGCTATTAATCTCATTTTCCACACCAATATTCAGTCCTTGGTACAGAGAATTTGCAGAGCCACAGACAGGCATGAAATTCCTGCTGAATATCTGCCCAAATCAGAACCACCCTGTACGTTTGGGTGAGTACTCACCTTGTAATTTCCGACGATGGAAGCGAGGAGACCCCAGGAAACTATTCTTGATGGAGTTGAGCCGTGTCCTCCAAGGCATTCCTCCAATGCTGGGGCTGGATGGTGGTGTTGGGTTGGGTGTGCCTGCTGGGCTCTCCTTTGGCGTATGAACAGGTGTCCCCTTGGGGGTAGGGAGGGGACTTCCCCTTGGAGAGGGGTGAGGGGTGACCTGTATGATGGGGATAGATTTGGTGCTTGGGTCAGTACTAGAAGGGAGTAATCTAACAGGAGACATAGGGTTGGTCTGCATTTTAGGAACAGCCAGCTGTGGGTTAAAGCCGGCAGCAGGCGAGCGGCCCTGAGCGTTCTGCACAGGGTTGTTCTGGGAAGAGGGGGCGCTGGTATTGCTGGCAGGGAGTGGGTTGGATTTAGTAGACTGGAGTGGTTTTTCAGCCAATTTGCTCTTGGATGGCAAAGTCTGCGTCTTTGGGTTGGGCTGAAGTGCTGGCTTTGGTTGGAGTACATGTCCAGGCCTGGAGGCGTTCCTACAAGCATCAGGGTCCAAGGAGACTTGGGGTCGGGGAGAGAAAGGGAGGTCGGAGGTCTGAGGGGGGATGAAGAACTTTCTGATAGGCTACGAGACAGACGCAGAGTGTCCATGCACATCAAAAACAGTGAAATACGCAAAGAGCGGGCGAGCAGAGAAAGGAAAGTCAGAAAAAAATCCATCCGAGTCACAAGGATGCACCATGTCACAAGGAGACACAGGAGATGGAGGTGAAGGGGCAGTGGGGGGGAGGGATTTTGCAAAGAAACGAAAACAAACAAACAAACAAAAAACAAAAAAAAGACATGCAGTTAGCTGGGAACACAGCATATTCAACAACAGCAGCAGCGGCAGCAGCAAGAACAACAGTGTCATAACAGGCTTCATCATATTAACCAGTGTCAGCAAAGGAAAACAACAGAAAGAAAAGTACAAGAAAGGAACAAAGAAAATAAAAGAAAAAAAGAAAAAGAAAAAAAGAAAACCAAAAAAGGAAAGTAACCAATAAAAAAAAAGAAGAGAGAAATGCCATCTCTCTGGGATTGTTCTGATTGCCCTGCAGTGAGAGAAGCACGATGCTGTAGGGAGGTGAGGAAAGGGAAGAAGAACCACTCAAGCCACAGACAAATTGAGATGTGCCAAGAAAGGGACCACCTCTTTCAGCTCCATGTGCCCATATGCAAACCCAGTAGAGAGATGAGACTCAGAACAGGTGTGTGATACATACAGAGTGGCAGGGGATACACACAGTTACTGCACACACCAGTCAGAACCTCTTTCCTTCCTCTCTACCCCTGGCTGGGTAATGCACCAGTTGCAGCCACCCATTGCAGAAACAGGGGGAAAAGGGAGACTGATGCCACCTGGGCACCCACTCTCCTCCCCTGATCTAGAAGGTTAAATTGCTCAGCCTTCACTTGGAAGCTTCAGAGCACACACCACAAGAAATATATGAACTCAGATTGGTGTTTGATTTTTAAACTGCTACAGCAAATACTTCAGTAAGGTCTGGTAGATTTATTTATCTGGGAAGAGATGATACTTTCCATCAGACTTTATGCTTCTCCTCCAACATCCCTCATTGCATTTGAAGGATAGTTTGATAATTGGAATTTCTGTCATAAAGTCTCAGCACTATTTGCCATTAAGTCCCAAGTCTAAGAAGAGGGTGGGGGGGGAGCCATTGTTTTGCAAGACACAGTTAAAAATAAAAAAGACAAGCAAAGTTCATAATCCATCTCTGAGATATCAAAATGGGATTATGATTTTTTTTCCCAAACAGTAACATTTACATGTGTTAAGAGGTGTTTTGGGAAACCACTCATACTTTGACAGCAAACAGCAATAGACAGACTTGGAAGGGTAGAAGCCTTTTAAGGGGTATTAGTGAGCTAAAAATCACATTTAAAACAACAACAAAAAAAAGTCCTTACAAATCATTGCTATTACCACCTTAGATAACAAGTACTGGAATAATTGTAAAAATAGAAACCACTACTCAAGATATTCAGCTTTGGTGTATCCTTTGATTACTACGAAGAATTACCTACAAAAAATTACACCATCACCATTATTATCACCTATACTTGACACCTAAAAGCCATAATCAAGAACTAACCAGACATACCATGTACATGTAACCTTCCCTCAAATCTCAGTCCAAGGTGAACACACTCACTAGGGAGTTTCCTTCCAGGGTGTGATGGATTAGCACAATGTTGCCAATTTTTAAAAACTGTAGAAATGCATTTAACACTTATGTCTCTAAGTTGTTTGTATCAAAGTTTTGTGATTACTTCAAAGAACTTAGGGTTAGGCCACCAAAATTAAAGGAAAATCAGTACATCAAAATATTTGTATTACTATTGGGATTGTAAAGTTAAACTAAAGTCTGCCATGTTGCTAAATTGTCATTGTCAATGAGCAAGGAAGGGGAACAGATGAGGAAAGTGTTTCATTTTCATGTGGAAGTCACTATCAGCATCTGACTATTAACTATTTGCAAATGATACCGATAGATGTCATTAACTCAGACTGTTAATTGCAAGTATTTCCTTGCAATTTTCCTATCTTACATGTATGATGGCTTGAGAAGCAGATTTGAAAGAAATAAAGTATGATTCAATTCCTTCTTAAGCCATTAAGAATCTGAAGAGGCACCCTTAATTACCACATATTTAATAATGAAGTGAAGAACAAGATTAGGTCTCAATTTCAGCTGGTGCAATGTGGAACACCATTAGCAAGATATTGTGAAATTTGACAACTTTTATTTGCTGAATTCAATTTCTCATAGAACTGAACCTAAGCAGTGCAAAAAGTGAAAGGTATATTTGTTTTTTAAAGTATGTTCTCTTTCAATAATCTAAGGTGCTATTAGAAACATAGGTAAGGATGTTAAAAAAATTATGATTTTTATTCCAACATTTCCTTTTAAGACTCGGATGTGATCAGCATTAATATCGTTATGATCTGCTGAAAATGCCACCTGATTGCTAAATCCCTTTGAAGACTATTTAATCAACTGCCTATTAAGTAATAATGGTAAGATACAGCAACTATGGGATCTTGTCAAACTTACTCTTTGATGTTGTCCTACTGAGATGTCAGAAATTGATCCCAAGAGATCAATTAATGAAATCAAGATTTAGGTTTGCTTCACTGGATGCTTATTTTGTGCACAAAACTGTTTCCATGCTCTTTTCCAGTACATTTTGCAGTAGCATAAGAGTTCTCAGACCTCTGCTCCATTTCACTGGCAACCAGGAGTGCCAGTGCAGAAAGAAGGAAATGGATTTTCACTGGTCCCTAGGACTTTAAAGACATAGAGGAGACCACAAGAACACTTATGCTGATTTCAAAACAGGATAACAACTGGCAGGAGCCCAAAATAAGTTTCAGAAAGTAATTCAATCAAGCAAAGTGCTGGAAGCTTTACTAGACTATAAACTTAGAGCTGACAGTGTGTCTTTATTCACAAGAATTACACAGAATCTTAGGGTGGAACTGCAATTTCAAATACTTGGAATACTGATGTTATCTTCATATATCTGACAGTAGATCCATGGATGTATCTATACCCTAAGACATGGACTATATAAATTTCTAATAGGGGATAGCATCTTCTCATCAAGTTATGGGGAGTATGTAGAAATCCTCCAGAGACTCTGGACTGTACATTTAAGTAGCATGCACTGTCACAGCCCAAGACTAGATTCTTGTTAGGCACTGCAGTCTTAAAGTGACTTAGCTGACCTTTTTAAGCACTAGGAATACTCACTTTTATCCCTAAAGAAGTTAACAAGAGGAGGGAGGCCTCTCTCATTGCATTTAGAAACTGTTACAACCTCACAACAAATGTACTATCAAGCATGTCCTGTACTGGCTGAGTATCAGTATTTAGTTGACTGCATGCTTAAAAAGGGCGTGTGAAAGTATTGTAACCTTGTTGATAGGGATTTCAATATTTCTTACTCATCCTAGTCAGTCGACTTCTTACTTTCCTTTTAAATTTCCTAGCCCTCAAATTTGTGTAATTTATTTTCTCTGATTTCCTAATGTGAGCTATTCTGAGGCAAACAGAAGATAACCAGCATTCCTTTGGTGCTTTACTGTGACTTAATTGAAGGCAGCTGTGAAATGGCTCCTGATCATTTGGTCTGAAACCAGGCTATATGCAGACCTCAGCTGGATATGGAGTGTTTAGTCATAGCAATGTTATTCTGTGTGCTTAGGAGACTGAAAAAGGGCAGGGGCACAGTGAGATCCCTGCTAACAGTGCAGGGAAAATGTAAGAGAAATTCTCCCCCTGCATTTGTAAGTAACATTTCCCTCACCACCCATGAAAATTTACAAGCTGCCAAGGAAAAGCAAAACATCCCAGCTAAGAGCCACAGCTCTGGCGCAACAGATGTCAAAAAGCACCAAGCATGTGTGAATGGATTGGACCAACAGATCTTGAAGCAACACCACTTACCCTTGGACTGCTGAGAGGACTGGTGGAGAGCCCAGACGATGCTCCGCTGATTGACCGAGACCTGAATGGACACAACAAGGAAACATCCCTCAGAAAACGAGACAAGTAACAACCCTGAACACCAGCCACCACAGGCACAGGCATGAAGTGAGGAGGAGGAGGGAGGCTGTCACTGGAAAAGGACACAACTCTTTCCTTTTCTTTCCTTTCACTATCGTCATGTTTTTCATCAAACCAAAGACATGCTGTTGCTCAGGGAGAATACTATAATCCCTTTCAATTAAGGCAGTTGCTACTTTCTTTTTGGTCATCAAGCACATGGAAACTACTAGGTCTGCTCTGTGCAAGTTGAACAGCTCAATTCAAAAGGATGGTGAAGACAATCATACTCGTGCAAAGAATTCTGTTTTGCACAGTGCTGGCAGTTACAAAATGAGACTTTCTCAGTCACAAGCAACATGGAAAAGCACCATGTGTACAAACACAAAGGTAGGGAGCTCTTCCAGATAATAATTAAAACCCCAAGTCCCCTTGACTCAAGCACACAATCATTTCTTATGTGATGACTTCCCACTGAAATCAAAGATTGCATTGGCTTAGCCCTTTCCAGCTTCTCACTGATGGATTTCAAATCTTTGCCCTCCAGTGAGAATACTTGCTTCTGCATTAAGCAAGCCAGATCTTCTCTGTGGATAATGAGTTCTGCTTTTGTTGATGACTTTACTAATATCAAAATTACAGCTCAGGTGCCCCCAGAAAGAGGCCAGTCAAGGAGGAGTGAACTGTCCTATCTGCTGACAAGGTCACTTATACTGGTAATGGTCTTATGCTGTCCAGCAAAGGCCACCTATGGAAAATGTTAGCTGCTGACAATACAATGTGCAAATGTGCTATGCTAAGCACGGTGGAAGAGCAGACAGGCCAGACTGCACAAACATTTCAGCAGAGGAAGTTCCTAGAAGGAGGTCTGCCCTGCAGGAAAAAAACCCACACCTTATGTGTGACTATACAAAAGAGAGCCCTAGAGGCAGCTGCTTTCTATCCTTTTTAAATAGAAAGAAAGTTTTCTTGAAGACTGAAACATCTCACAGGAGAGAATTTGGCTAAGAACCTATTTATTCAACAACCACCACGAAGCAATATCTCAATATAGCAAAACTACCAATGTTGCCTTCCTATAATAACCTACCTATAACAAGAGCCATGAAAGCAATACTTGCCTTCAGGTAACAAACATGAAAAGGTGAAATTCCTGTAGAAAACTGAGTGTATGAGTGTGTGTGTTGCATTATGTGTCTGTGTTTACACACATGTATATTAAAAATTTATATAGGTCAGATACTTGATGTCAGCTTATACATAAGAATATAAAACAAATTTAGACCATAAACAGTATCAGTTTACTCTCTTCAGCTGTTTTAGAACAAAACAGAAAAATGGTCTCTAAAATAGCCTCCTAGACATATATTATTAAGTAAGTTTATGTAGCAGAATTCTTTAAAAATAAGTGAACTGCAAAAGATGGAGTATTTCCAAGGAAAGAATACGCTATAACTGAGCACAATGGCAGGTTCTGTTTCTTCTACTTATATCTTCTGCCCTGATGATTTTCTTTGTATACCATTGCAGTTTGTCCCTCACACTAAGTAGGTGAAAACTAGAAGCTCACTCACAGCACATTTTTTTGGCCAGATCAAATCTCAACTGGCACCATGAAAATCTGGGGCACTCATTCTATGCAGAAAATTCCCACTTAGGTTTTTTTCTTGTACCCTGATGTAATCTGCCCATCCTAGTGCAGCGGTAAAAAACTAGAGGCTCACTTTGGCATTTTTTTGTACTAGATTAAGCCTAAATTTGTACCATCAAGATCTGGGGCACTCATAAAGGTTTATGCAAAGTAATTTTAAGGGGAGAACTGTCTGCTCCACTTTCAAGACTACTGTATGTGCCTTTCCTGTAAGCGAAGTAGCTGACTGCACCACAGCTGTGTCGTGCAGATGGGAAGTCCATTTAGTTAAAATGTTCCTTGAATGAATCATCAGGAAAAGCTTCTTCCAAACCATGAATTACAAGAGGAGTGTATAGATTATTTTGGAAAAATGTGGAAGGCATTCAGGTGCCCAGAGATGTAGTTAAACACCAACTTAAAGGAGATGTTAACCACCAACTCTTAATTGTGGTGGGAACATCCTCTCTGACACTCACCTGAATTCCAGGACACTTGCTTAAAAGTTCCACTCTGCTATTTCCTTTTTGCAATCAGGTGTTTCCAACAGTCCTGAATTTTCACTTCCCAACCCCATTGCCTCTTATTTTTTTACAAAAATTATCACACACATGTATGGCAGAATATGGCAGTCCCCACCTCCCAGATCCCAGTTCTTTATTGGAAGCAATATTTGAAAAATAGCTGTGTACTGTGCTTTCATCCAGCCTAGGAGCCTGAGGCAGGGGACATAAGAGAGAGTTAGTATGAAATCCTCCTGGAAATGCATTCAGTATCCACATGATTTCTATTGAACAAGATTTATTTCTGCTGCTGATTTACATGCAAAATATGTAAGAAGTAAAGTAGGCCCTATAGCAAACTTCAGTTTGTCCACACTGGAAATTGTATATAGGAGCAGAGGAAAAATTTAAAGAAGCCTGTGTTCAATTAAAGTATAGGGGTGAAAAGAGAGATACACATTTTCAGAAGTCTTCCTCCTTTACCAGAAAGTGGTAGTATATGATATGACACCAAGATTGAGGAGATTTTCCTTGCATCTTTCTAAATTTAACAAATCTCCCAAAATTTACCTTTACAAGTGGGGTATGATTCTCAAGCTAGCTATAAAACTCAGTACCATGACCTACTATGTGGTTCTGTACTACAGTACAAAAAGTGCTAACAAGCAAAAATGACAGATTTGTCCCTCTCATCAAGATCATTTCAACTAAGCAATGCTGTAATTCAGTTTGTAAAAAAATAAAACAATCACATGCACTGCTCCTGTATCTCAGAGTCAGGTGGACAGAACTGGGACAGGGCCAAAAGAAAGGAATGAAAATGCTTCATTATGCTTAAATGCTGTAATGAAAGAACAGGAATTTAAATTTTTAGCCCTCTCACCAGAAAATGGAAGTTTGAGAGGCCCTACAGGCAGAGTGTGGAAAGAGGTACGACATCATCTCCATGGCTATGCAATAAATTTATTTAGTGAGAAGTATTAATTAGTGAGTAACCTCCTAAGAGTCTTTACAGGCATTAAACTTTGCTGGAAGTATTAAATCTATAATTATTCCAATAACTTAGTACTAAATGCAACAATCCAGGAAACTGTGAACACTGTGTGTGACTAATTTTGCTCTGTGTTTTGCATTCCTGTATGCTTGTGCATTAACTCAATGGAAGTCATCAAAAGGTTGTTGAAAATACAAGCTGGAAAGACAGTGCAGTTGCTCAAATAAAGAGCATTCCCTCAAACACAACTGCCAGATTTAGAGACCCAAGAAGAGACTCTTTACTGACACTGTTGTTTTGACGAGCCTGGAGGGAGGAATTCAAAAACCCCAAAACATAAGGGAGGCAGACCCAAGGTTTAGGAGGGGGAAGATGCAGAGGGCACTCTAAACATAAGGTGGACATTGAGATCATTGCAGGCTATTCCTCCCATTCCACAGACTGACAATCACCTGGAGACAGCTGAGCTATGAAAGAGAGAGGCAAAGGACTGAAACGAAATGTGCGTGTATGGGCTGGAGTTTGTAGCTGTGATGATTTTATACCTTATCCAATCTATTTGATAATTCAAAGTGTCAAAGTTGAAAGGTACTTAATTTTAAAGTAATTTTGTACTCATTTTAGCCAGCTGCTGTCAAGAGGAAGCCATGCAAGGCCCAGTTCATGTCAGAGCAGTGTTCCGAAACTGAGGGGCTTGAATCCAGTTTCCAGCTGGTTTCAGAGAATGCAGAATTTCCTGAGAGGCACATGGCTGAAGCCTGACAATGCTGAGGTACAGACAGAGAGAAACAGGAGACAGGAGAGTACAACTGGCCTGCTAACTGCACTGCACATGTAGCACATGTACAGAGCATCTCTCCAACACCCTTCTCTCAGATCTGCTCCCAAATGCTTTAAACAGTGCCCCTGCTAGGACACACCAGTAGAACACAAAGGCTTCACAGCATTAATTTAACATTTAGGTCAGATTTGGCATTTGCTTCTTCTTTGAATAACCATCTCCTAGAACTTTTTCTTACAATCCAAGGCAAGTTTGTTATGCCGTTGCAGTCCCAGCAGAACTTGCTTTCATAGCACAGTTTTACCAGGATGCTGAATACAGCCTCTTAGCTGGTCAAGCTGGAGCCATGCTTCCGAGAAGGGGAGCCTGCAGCATGCATGCAGCGTGCAGTGATGCATCAGACTTGTGTCCCTGGGTGAAATGCCTTAGAAATTTTGAATTGGTTTGATTCCATCTCTGGTTTTGAAAGTCATTCCAGAAAATACCTAGCCAAACTCTTACTTGCTTCAAGCATGAATTGGGTGGAATCTGATACTCCTCTTTCCTTGCTCACTCAAAGCCAAAAAAATCTAAACTGAAACTTCAGGGTATGAGACCCCTGACAATGACCTGAATTAACATGCAAGAGGTGATCAGTCAGGCTGTGTTAAATTTCATCATTCTAACTTTTGGGTGTCTGAAAGGTACAAACTGTGCTTCCTCACCCCCTGATTCAGGGAATATGTATAGAATACCTTGGATGTTCCACTGTCTTACATTTCTAACCATGCAAATAACACTGTGACAGCTCTTACTGGGAATACTCATGCTTGAGTCAGAAGATCTGCTCATGGTAACAACCACTTGTAAGATGAAGCCTTACAGAGAGTACAGAGGAAGAAGTGCAGGTGTTGGTAACACACTTCTTTTCAGCCCATACAGATGGTGATGTTGAATAGCAGCACCCTCCTTAATTGGCCAATTATACTAAAGTTCCATTTATAAATGGTCTAGAAAAAAATTAACAGATATTGAAGCATGCTGCAAACATGAGAAGTAAATGTTACTGGTGCTA